ACGTGTGTGTGTGTGTGTGTTTATGTGATAATGTGTTTGCGTTTGTGTTTACGTGTGTGAGAGTGCTTGCGCGAGTTTATGTACGTCTGTAGGTATGTATAAATAAAAGCATGTACATATGTATATACATGAAAGAGGGAACAGCCAATTCCCACTTCCAAATAAACAAATGTGTCTCTCCGTGTTGAATTTTGATTCATCACACCAGTGTACAGAAAAAATAGCCCTCCTTTTCCATCTAAACTCATCCCGACTCATTTCCCAGTAACTCCATCTCATTTTATCCAAAAATCTCCCTCCTTTAAAGACACGTGCCTCATCAACGAGAAAAAGAAAAAAATATCGAAGCCTCTTTGCCTCTGAACTTTGCGTTATCTTTATGCCAGATATAATGCGTTGCTTATACGTCGTCCTCGAGACTTGGAGGAGCAGGTGAGCGTAATATTGGTTCTGCTACACGAGGGATCACAGCAGCCGACGCTCGACGCTCTCGAGGAATTCCTTGGGATCCAATTTAACGCGGATCTTGAGCGACCGGCAAATCCCTCAAGCAACTTGCAAATTGTTGCTTTACTCGAGCCACGGTCAGGTGTAGCCCTTTCTTAGGGAAGAGGAATTCGGAAGCCTTTGCCCTCGACGGGGGGGGGGGGTACCGAATGTGTTGTTTGACTTTCATTTTTTCTGTTATTTTTTAGGAGGAGGAGGAGGAGGACTGGTGGCGAGAGTCGTTTTTTATCATAATTATTTCTTTATTTATCTATTTATATGTAATGTATATAGGTATATATATACACATAAATATATATGTTTATACACATATTTAAATCTTTCTTTCCTCTATTTATTTATTGTTATTCTTATTTTTTTTTACATCTATTTATTTTTTAAAAAATCGTACAAGCTTTTCTCGAGTTCAGATATGTCATAAGGTTTGCCCGCTGAACCGTGAATGCATGCACACGCGCTCGAACATATATACGCATTCCCCCCCCCCCCCCCCAACCTTTTTTTTTGCACATAGTTAAGCTCCCAAGTGTAGGAAAAATATTTGCATGGCTGAGAGTGCTTCTAGATTCCCATTTTGCTGAGAAAGTTGGACGCAAACCGAGTTGCTTCTTTTAAACCGAAGCTTCGAAGCTCTATCTCCTCGAAGCCAGAAGGAGCGAGGGAAGACTCACTTCAAGAGGGAAGTTTCATCCTCCTCCTTTATTTTATTATTTTTCTTTTTTCTATTTTTTTTTCTTTTCTTTTTTTTTAATCTCTAAAGCTCTTAGGAGAATAGCAAGAGGAAAGTTTTCCCTACCCAATTTTTTTCGTATTTTTTTCCTCCTCTTTCTCACCTTTTCTTTTTTTTTCCCTCTTTCCCACCTCTTTTTTTTTTTATTTGTTTTTGTTTTTGTCTTCTTTCCCACCTCCTTTTTTCGTTTCTTTTTTTTTTTTTTTTTTTTTTAATTTCTTTCTCACTTTATTTTTGTCCTCTTTCCCACCTCCTTTTTTCTACCCCCCCCCCTCTATTCCTACCCCGTTTATCTATTTTAAGTTCTCAGTAAAGATTCCCACATCAGAGAGCAGTATGGTAAACGCATTTTTCCATTGTGCTCCGTGCGGTAGAGAGGGAAGGAGGGGGGAGGAGGAGGGAAGGAGGGAGGGAAGGGAGGAAGGGAAGGGAGGGAGGGGAAGGAGAGAGGAAAGGGAGGAAGTTAAGGGAAGGAGGGAGGGAAGGGAGGGAAGGGAGGGAAGGAGGGAGGGAGGGTACAGGAGCCTCCAAGGTGAAGAATGACCAATTTCTTGAAGTTTCATGTATGCAAATCTGATCAAAGTTTGAGGAACGGCCTTACCTCTCATGAATAGGAGAGCAGGTATCTCGGTCAGCTGAGAAGAAGGCCGCCAGCTGATTTAATCAAAGTTCCGGATCTTTTCGCCTCTCTCTCTCTCTCTCTCTCTCTCTCTCTCTCTCTCTCTCTCTCTCTCTCTCTCTCTCTCTCTCTCTCTCTCTCTCTCTCTCTCCCTCTCTCTCTCCCTCTCTCTCTCTCTCTCTCTCTCTCTCTCTCTCTCTCTCTCTCTCTCTCTCTCTCTCTCTCTCTCTCTCTCTCTCTTTCTTTCTTCTTCTCTCTGTCTCAGTCTCTCTCTCTCTCTCTCTCTCTCTTTCCCTTTCTTTCTCTCTCTTTCTTTTTCTCTCTGTCTCAGTCTCTCTCTCGGTCTCTCTCTTTCATCTCTCTCTCTCTCTCTCTCTTTGTCTTCTTTTTTGTCACTTTATATACACACCTATAAGAATACCTCGGTGTATTCTTTGACAATTCCTCGTGGGTAAAAAGCTTGTGGATTCTGAAGGGAAATAATTCATTCTCTAAGGTATTTCAGATTTTCATATCTTAACGATTGTTTTGCCTTTTTTTCTTCGTTGTTTTGGTCTAGATATTCTCATAGATGTGTATCTGAGTCTCTGGTTTGATTATATATTCATCTTTTCTCTTTTCTTTCTCTTTCGACTCGTTTTGCTTCTTCTAATTTTTAATCTTTCTCTCTCTCTCTCTCTCTCTCTCTCTCTCTCTCTCTCTCTCTCTCTCCTCCTCTCTCTCTCTCTCTCTCTCTCTCTCTCGTTCGTTCTATCCGTCTTTTTTATCTTTATTTCTATGTCTATAACTGTCTCTATGGCCATCTTTTTGGACATGTATTTGTATATCTCTTTATCACTCTAACTGTCTATCTCAATCCATCTATCGTTCACTGTTCAATTCAATTCGTCTGTCTTTCTCTTATCTTAAACAAACCTTTTTACTTCTCAATTTATTCATCACTGACCCATTATTTTTCGATAGATCCTTTTACCATTCAATCACAAACACCCAGCAGAAATATATTAAAGCCACGCCCAAAATCCTTTGATAAAAAAAAAATAAATAAATAAATCCGAAGATCATTTATTCATTAGCACATTTAAAAACACGCCCACAAAAACATCAGACCACCCAAGCATTAACACTCACATTTAGAGCCACGCCCGCCATAAAAAAGAAAGAAAGAAAGAAAAAAGATAGAAAGAAAGAAAGTAAAAAAACAAAAACAAAAACAGACCACTCAACCATCAACACCCATTTCAAGCCACGCCCACAACCCTTCCCACAATAACAACAATATTAAAACGACTCTCTGCCTCTTCTCTCCGCAGCTGTTCCGGCCACGCACATCTTCCCCATCACGCCCATCCTAGGTGTGCTGATAGGCGTGGTGGCCGCCCTCGTGCTGGTGGCCGTGGTGGTGGTGGTGGTGATGAAGCTCCGGGGCGACACGAGGACCATGAAGGGCAGGCCTGAAGGGGGCATGAAGGGGCCTCACTCCCCCCTCCACCCAGCCAAGGACGGAGATGACTGTCCCGACGTCATCTTGTGTCGCACGGGTGAGCGAGGGGGGCGGGGACGCAGGGAGGGCGTGGGGAGGGGAAGGGGGCGTGGTTTGAGGGTGGGGGGCGAGGGAAGAGGGCTGGGTCAGTGGGTGGGGGGCGAGGGAAGGGGGCGGGGTCAGTGGGGGGTGGAGGGGGGGCTGGGGATGGGGTGCCCCCACTGGGTGTCCCAATACGGGTTTGAGCTGTCGGGATAAACCAGTCGTGTAATGTTGCTCTGATATAAGCTCTAGTTGTAAACACTCTAGCTATAAATTGACTATAAATGTGAACAAAGGACGGGATTAAAACGGGGATATATAAATTCGTAATTAATCATTAATATTAACAGACATACTGAATCATAAATAAACTACCATAAGTCTACACGGCACCAGTAAACAAGCACAGACACAGACGCCGACGGGCTTCCCCTCCCAGGCACAGAACACACACAAACGACCTGCTGTGAATGAGCAAAAGCAAAAAACAACAATAACAAAAGCAGCAAGAAAATAAAAAAAATGAAAAAAATAAAAGTCAAAACCAACAACAAACAAACAAGAAAAAAGTAAATAAAAAAGATATTAACCAAAAAAGCAAATACGCAAACACGTCAAAAAAAAACAAAAAACAAAAACAAACAAAAAAAAGTAAATACACAAACACATCAGCAAAAAACAAGAACAAAAACAAAACAACAAAAAAAGGGACGCTCGACTAACTCCATGCTCCTCCTCCATGCTCCTCCTCGACCTCCAAAAGACTCGACCTACGAGGACGTCGACGGGATCCCGCAGAAGCTGAAGCACGCCAACATCTACGAGACGGTCCCTTACGACACCAAGGACAAGAACAGCAAGAACAGTGAGGTAGGAAGACAAAAAAAAAAAGAAAAAAAAGATCCTTGTTCCTTAGTCCTTCAGTCCTTTATCTCTTTATTTATTTTCCTTTTTCCCAATTCCCATTCGCGGTCATCTCCATTCCTCTTTTGGTAAAATCATCCTCATTTTCATTTCTATTTTTTTTTATTTTATTTTATTTTTTGGCTTCGTTTTCCTCTCCTACTGTTTATTTCCCTTTTTCTTCCCTCTTATCCTCCACACCCACTTTCGTTATGCATTCACATCCCCTTCCTCCCCCCCTCCCCCCTTCTCTCTCTTCCTCTCAACTCTTTATTCATCAACGTCCTTGTTTTGTTTCCCCCATGCCCCCCCCCCCTCCTCCTCTTTCTACCCCCCTCGTTCATCATTCATCCTCTTATTCCCCCTTCATCAGTTACCCCACTCATTCCTTATTCATCCCCCTTCCCTCCCCCTGATTCACAAATTCCCCTTTCTACCCCCTTTCATTCACCCCCCCCCCCCCCCAGTCTCTTCCCCTTCACTTCCCCATTCTCATTCATCCTTCCTCCCCCCCCTCCCCCCCCTTCATCACTTATCCTCCGTCATTCATTTTTCACCCCCCCTCCTCCTCCCCCCCTTCATCCTCCACCCCCCCCCCTTCTTCCCCATCTCCCACCCCCCAAAAGCATGAGCTCCCCCCTCCCCCCTCTTGTGCATAAAGTAGCAAGAATGTTTTATTTGTTCCTGCGTGTGTGTATCTGGTATCCCGTATCTTC